ATAAGTTTAACATTTTAAGATTTTTAAAGACAATTTTGATGTGTACACAGTCATTTCAAATCAGAGATAAGGTTGAGAGTTGCAGTACCAACATCCAATTCATATTTATATTTTTTGTGGTAGGCAAAATATTCAAATTCAAAATCATATAGATAACTTCAACTGGAAAGGTTTTGTTGTTTTTTTTTTTCCTAGCAGCCAGCTCACCTTGAGATATTAGAATAATTAGTTTCGAGTTGCAATTGAATCACTTTCAAAATCTTTATTCACTGTTTCCATCCCTAACTTATGGTAATTTAGCAAGCCAAAGACAAAAACAAAACCTATAAATTTATAGTAAGATGAATTATGCTATGATCAGAATATACACTGAGTAGAAATGCATAACCTTCTGCAGGAACTTAATTAGCAGAGTACTAACACTCTGTCCAATTCAGTGAAAAAAAAGTATGTATTGAACACCTACTTTATGATAATCACTGTTACCAGCCTGCCCTTGAGGAACTTACAGCCATTAAACAAGTAATCGCCAAGGTGTTGCTGAAAAAGTAACACAGAACATGTGACCACCGCTGGTTAACCCTCGAGCTGGACCCAGGCAGCTGGAGGTTCCTCAACCCCTTTCCTGTCCTTGGACTCTATGATCTGCCTACCATTCCCACAGTGGGAGCTGTTTTCAAGGACAGAGCCTTGGAGAGAGTAAGGTGGTGTTGAGACCATCTGGGTAGTATACGTGACTCAACCCATTTAAGGCCTTTATTTAAACTTTTAAGATTCTGGAGGGCAGGTGCAGAGAACTGTTTGTCTTTCAGCTGCCCAGAACAAGCTTCATATGTCATTTCCCTTGTTTATGAAACCTGCCACCTACCAATCTGGAGCGGCCTGCCTCTTTTTCTGTCTCCTCCTGCCTTGCATGCACAGCGTTAGTTTGCAAACAAACAGGTATTATTGAGAAGTCACAGGTGCTTGGAGAAACTAAACTAGTCTAGAAAGTCAGGAAGAAGTGGGACCTGAAAGAGGACTAGGAGTTAGCAAGATGATTGGGTCATGGGGTGGGATGGAGAAAAGAGATTTTCAACAGTAGAAAAGGTTTAAGCAGAAGAAAGATCATGGTAGATTCATAGAAATTAAAGGAGACCTTTAGCAAGTCATTCATTCATTCACCGAACACTGAGGAAGGGCCAAATAATGCCTGGCGCTGGTCCAAGCCCTGGAGATACACCTCAGTAAACAAAAGAGACAAAAATCTATGCCCTAACAGAGCATACATTTTAGGAGGAAATAGCTTAAAAAATTAAACATATCATGTGTCAGATGTTAAGTTCTTTGTAGATAGGAAAAAGTGTGGAGGGTAATATAAAATACTGTGGTAGGATGTAGCAGGAGGTGCAGTTTTAAAAAGGGAATCAGGCTTCATTAATACAATAACATTGTTACAAAGACCTGATCTAAGGGAGGGAGCAAACCATACAGATAGGCGAGTAAGAGCAAGTGTTAAAGGCCCAGTAGCAGGAGCATGCTTTCATGCAAGATTCTGAGGGAGGCCAGTGTGGCTGGAGCAGAGTACCTGATGGAAAAAGAACTGATGAAAAGCAGAGTCACAGGGAATGGGTAGGGAGCAAAAGCGCGGGATGACTAGTAGACAGTTAATAGGGCAATGGCTTGACTAGGGGAAATGGAAAGCCACTGGACGCTCAGAGCCCAGTGATAATGTGATCTCATGCAAGTTCTGAGGAGATCACTGCCTGCTGGGTTGAGAATAGACTGTAGAAAGGCAAAGCCTTAATCAAGGGAGTGTGTGTGAGAAGGAAGTAGCTTCATGTGATGTGGTTGGAGCTGTAGACAGGGTCAAACCACAGGGAAACTTAATAATCCAATCCGTTTTTTTTTTTTTTAAGATTTTATTTATTTATTTGAGAGAGAGAGAATGAGAGAGAGCACATGACAGGGGGGAGGGTCAGAGGGAGAAGCAGACTCCCTGCCGAGCAGGGAGCCCGATGCGGGACTCGATCCAGGGGCTCCAGGATCATGACCTGAGCCGAAGGCAGTCGCTTAACCAACTGAGCCACCCAGGCGCCCCCAATCCGTTTTAAACTAACACAGAGATGGTGGGAAGTTTTTTCAACAGGGAGATAAAATGAACAGATTTCTGTGTTCAAAACTGCACTATCCAGTGTGGTAGCTAATAGGCCGTGAGGTGAGTAGGCACTTGAAATGTGGCTAGTTCAAATTGAGATGTGCAGTGAATGTAAAATACATATCAAATTAGTACAAAATAGTACAAAAAAACCCAAATGTAAAATATTTTAAGAGCTAGATTATATGTTGAAATGATAATATTTTGGATATATTGTGTTAAATAAAATATATTATTAAAATTAATTTTGCCTCTTTTTAGTTTTTTAATGTGGATCCTACAAAATTTAAAATGACATATATATAATTATATATATTATATATATATATTAATTTTTAGTACTATTGGACAGAGCAGATTTAGAAGATCCTTCTGTTTACAGAATAAAGTAGACAAGATTGGGTGCTGAGACCAGTTAGCAGCCTGGTCTCTAGAAAAGTTTGGCTATCACTAAGCTATTCTAAGTATTTTAAGAGCTGCTTTAAGCACTCTAAAATTCTAAAAGAAGGTGACAATTTAGCTGAATACACTTCAGATAAGAAATTATTTAAATTTTTGTTTTTTAGTTACCAGAGAAAATAAAGGCAACAGTGTTTTGCTGCACAAAATGAAGTTATTGGCAGGCTATTTTATATTCTAAACAGTGTTTATGACTGAGATTTGAATGACTGATAACAGAAAGGAAACAAGGTTTACAGCTCTTGTTTATGTGTCTTATAGGTTTTGTATCTGCACATATAATAAACTTTAGTATAGTCCTACAGTGTTCACATTCCTAATTAATTTATTTCAGAATGGTCTTATTTCAGAAGGCCCTTATGATAATATTTAAATTATATTTAAAATAATATTGGAATATTCAGAATGCAAGCTCCCCATTTAAATTTGCACATTCTCTATAAGCTGTGTGGTTTATTAGATTTATAAATATAGTAATAGATGTGATAAAGATATGATTAAATTTCTAGTTGGGTTCAACACTTAAAATTACTTGCCAAAGTATTACACATGAATTCTATGGAATATATTCAGTTATTTTAAACTTCATAATTAAGTAGAAAATAACTACTGACAAAATATATATAAGCTAGATTTATTAAATATTTTATAATACATTGTCTTGTAACTACTATATCATAAGATTAAATTTAGCAATTACATATTTTTTAAAGAATATTTTATTTGTGAAAATGTTGAGGTTGAGTATATATTATCTACATACTCTGAATTTTGACAGGCTTAGAGAACTATTTTGATGATACAGTGTCTTTATTGATTAGTCATATAGTACTAATTTATCAGCAAGTTAAAGAGATTGTGATTGATATTTATGGATCACCACTAATAGCTTCATTGATAGTGAATAACCAGTTTTTAAAAGTAATTTTACTGTACAGAATTGATCATAACTTCTCTTGAATTACTAGGTCATTTATATAAAGCAAACATAAACTATCAAAAATAATCCAATAATTGTATATGTGCCTACGCGCACGTGTGTGTGTGTGTGCACGTGTGCGTGCACGCACGCCCCCTCTTACAGTTTACGCCTCCTAGAGGATGAGTCAGTGGTGCATAGTGTACTACTGGTATCAATAGAATTGCAGTCATTTAGATCTGTAGGAACATTCATTAAAATACGTACCTAGGGAAAGACAAATGGTTATTTTATTGGGACTCATTTAGGTAGGAGTTAAATTTACCTTTAAAAAAGGCATTTTTTTCTTTCTTTCCTGAATATATAAGCAGAAGCCTTATCAAGAGATTATTGTCCATTATTGTTAATTATTGTGTATTTTTAAATAGAGCATTTTGTGAAAATGTATTAGATTAAAAGAAGTAGTTAAAACATTTTTTAACATAATATATGTTACTGGAAAATTATTTTTCCTTTTTTTGTATATCAGTGTTAATTTAGAAAGTGGTCAGCAGTGATTTCTTTGAGACCAGAAACAGCTACCCCCTCAACATTCAGGACATTGGATGCATACTTAGCATAGGATCCTTTTTTTATAGATCTTCCATTCCTGTGAAAGAGTACCCTATAAATGACAACATGGTTAAGCAAAAAGAAAATGCAGTCTAATAAAACATTTCGTCACATAACTTTTATTATTTACATTTCATTTTCATGATTTTTTGGTGAAAATTTGGTTATTTGCTTACAGTTTTCATGGTTCTTGCCATATGTGTATAGCATGTATATCTTATTTACTTAATATTTTGTCTACCCACTTTTGAAATTAATTCAAAAATTTTAAATGAATGTATTTAAATATAATAAACAGAAAAAAATTGCTTGCCATAAAAAATAAAAATAAAATGATAAAAGTAAAGCAAACTATAGGTAGATTCTTGCTAAAGTCTCTGAACCTAAAGCCAGCTTTCATTTTCTTTAAAAAAAAATTTTTTTTTTCACCAATAGGACAGGTGTTAAGATATACCAGCCCCACACTGGGACTTTCTCCTTTAGTACTCAGAAGGACTGAGGGAAAAATGGAATGCAAATACATTTTACACAGTGTAATTCAATGTTATTTAATGCTATCTCCTAGAACTACACAAAATCATTCCCCTTACTGCCAGTGAGTGGCATCCCCACACTCTGGTAATCAATTATTTTGTGTATGTGTATCAGGTACGCTTTCCAAAATTAGCAACCTGAGCCTAAATATGACGTCACCATTATGTTACTGATTTTGAAAAACTAATTTCATTGTTAATATTAACATATATTGACTTTTCTGTATATGTGTAACACTGAACTCTGAGATCAAAATGTGTATCAATTAAAACATGTATGTGTACAAATAAAATAAACTCAAGCAATAATAACAATAAAAATATTTTCCTCTTTTTACAGCTTGCAGACCAGGATTCTATAAAGCATTTGCTGGGAACACAAAATGTTCTAAATGCCCTCCCCACAGTTTAACCTATGTGGAAGCAACTTCTGTCTGTCAGTGTGAAAAGGGTTACTTCCGAGCTGAAAAAGACCCACCTTCCATGGCATGTACCAGTAAGTCTATACATTTTGCATTTGGAAATCCTGTTTTCAACCCTTTGGTTTCTTTATTCTAAATTGTTTTAAAAACTAGATATAAAAAATTCTGTGGCAACAGTGTATATGTCTTTGATAACAGTGAAGAAAAAAGTTTCTCTTTCTCTCAGCATAGTTACTTTTCATCTGCTTGCAAAGGAAGTGCCTATTCCTCAAAATTCACATTGATCCAGGACATGCAAATCCCAGCACTGGTGTGAGGCCCTGGAAATTTTTCCAAACCATAATCTGTCCTTAGGAAGTTAAAGCAGTTTAAGGCTACCTAAGAATTTATAAACAAAACTTGTTCTTTGCTTCACCCTTGTCCATTTTAAGGCACATCAATTTAGGAACATCAAGTTCAATGTGTGGGGAAGCTTCCAGATGGAACTTTAAAAGTCATTGTGCTATTGTTTGGCAGGAAAGTTCTAGTTTTCCTTGACATTTGTCTTTAAAGGAAAGTGTTTTAAGTTTTTCCACATTTCACCTTTCACTTTCCAATTTTTGGTTTGGAACCAATAGAATATTAAATTTAAATGTGAAGGTCATTTTAATGCATGCACCGAGAATTTTAAATTATTTGTACTCTTTTATTATAAAGTATTATGGAATATCTGTACATTTAAAAAGTAAAAGTGAATCTATTAACGCATTGCTAAGCTATGCAAAAGTAAAATGTCATCTCTTAGGTAGCTATAAAAGTCTTGTTAAATACATAAATAAGATATTACAGTGAAAATTTGCCCTTCTGTTTGATGAATTGGTGCCAAACTATTGCTTATCTTATATAATTCCATAAAGGCAAAAATAGATTGAGAATTATGTAATGTTACATATTCCTTAGAGACAATGGTGATGTCCCATTTCTTTTAACTGATGCAGTCTGTAGAATTATCTGCATTACTACAGACTTTAATATAAAATATTTTTATAGAATACATTTAATAAAAATGTAACACATTCATTAGTAGATGTAACTTTTGTTTTCTGATTGTAAATGCTGAGTGACCATTTTCTTCAGAAAGTTGCAGCCTGGAAAATTACTACCTGACATTTTTTTTCATTGGGAACATATTTTAAGTTAATAAATAGAAAAAGGAAATTCTGAAATATAATTTCTCACCTAAATATGTAAAGAGTTTTTAACAGGAAAACCTTGCTGTTACTATATATATGTAATCCTTCTTGCATGGCTACTGTATATTATTATATTATATTGTGGACAGCATACTCCAGCTTAGCTAAATGGTGGTATTTCAAATGGGTAGGAAAGTATTTCTCAAAACCTGTATCAGAAACTGAGTGGAACTTCCCAGGTAAGTGATCAAGGAGAATTTTTCTTTTTATTTTCTTAGGAGGCAATAAATAGACAATTGACAAATTGAAGGAATAAATTGGTTCCCATCAATCTAACCCTTCAGTAAGGTAGTAGGATAGGCTTGCAGTTCTTTGAAATGAGAGTCTGGTTAAGGAAATAAATATTGGATACGACAAGGTTCACGAACCTGGTAAAGTAGTCAGTCATATGTGTACTTATCAGCTTAATGTTTTATGTTTCTTGGATTTTTCTTTCCTCTAGAAAATTTCCTTTCTTATACTTGATATTGTAAATTATGTTTTTATGTTTTTTATCTTTTATGTTTTAATTTTATTTTAATCAATAGATATCATTTACCAGGGAACTCTAATTGTCTGTCTGGTCTTTCACCATCTTTATTAATCTCTTGTTATGGCTGTTTTCTTTTTCTTTTCTTTTCTTTTACTTTATTTTATTTTCATTCCAGTGTAGTTAACATACAGTGTCATATTAGTTGCAGGTGCACAATATGGTGATTCAACAACTCCACACATCACCCTGTGCTCATCATGGCCACGCCAGCTTGCAGCTATACTAAATATAGGAGCAGAGAAAGGTTTGATTCTGCTCATTGTTGGGCAGAGTCTTAGAGAGAGAACAGGATTTTGTGTTGCCATCAAATATTGAAAGATAAAACCATCCTAAAAAAGGTGAAAACTTTGGGCGCCTGGGTGGCTCAGTTGGTTAAGCGACTGCCTTTGGCTCAGGTCATGATCCTGGAGTCCCTGGATCGAGTCCCGCATCGGGCTCCCTGCTCAGTGGGGAGTCTGCTTCTCCCTCTGACCCTCCCCCCTGTCATGTGCTCTCTCTCATTCTCTCTCTCTCAAATAAATAAATAAAATCTTAAAAAAAAAAAAAAGAACTTCTGTCATGTTGGGGCGCCTGGGTGGCTCAGTTGGTTAAGCGACTGCCTTTGGCTCAGGTCATGATCCTGGAGTCCCTGGATCGAGTCCCGCATCGGGCTCCCTGCTAGGCGGGGAGTCTGCTTCTCCCTCTGACCCTCCCCCCTGTCATGTGCTCTCTCTCATTCTCTCTCTCAAATAAATAAATAAAATCTTAAAAAAAAAAAAAGAACTTCTGTCATGTTTTAACAAAACATAGCATAGTATATTGTAAGTTAACCATCTTTTAGAGTCAAATTATCTGAGTATGAATCTTGGTGTTGGTGCTTAATAGCTGTGTAACTTTGGGCAAATTGTTTAACCTCTCTTAGCCTCAGTTAACCCATGCATAGTGATAATAACAGTATACTTCATTCTGTAGCTACGATGATTAAATAAGTTAATATTTGAAAAGTGCTAAGAACAACACCTAGCACATAGTAGGTGCTACATATATGTTTGTTTAACACAGAAAGTTATTCTCTTATAATCCATTTTGAAATAGTTTTTGATCAGCTAGTATTCAAACTGTTATACACTTTATGGTTGATACTACTATACTGGTTCCCATCATCTGCATTCTTACAAACTGAAAAAAAAATAATATGCTGAATTTTTTACCTTTTCACAAAATATTTTAAGTCCTGCATTTCTGTTGCCTATCTGAGATCAGTCAGGTTTTCTGAATTATACTCTGACTAAGGTGAGAGACCCTCACAGTTATTACAACATATGCAGAAAAAGTAAGGACCCTAAACTCCAAAGTATCATTGCTCCTAAAAATTGGAAAATGAGATGGTTGGGGAAGAAAAATCAGAAAAGTGACAAGTCAGGAGGTCACTGAACAATTAGAATTAAGAAGACCAGGGTAAGTTCACTGAGATATAGAACTTCTGAGGCCAAGAATCAAACAAGCAGTCAGCCTTTTCTGTCTTTCATTAACCACAAATAAGAGCCAAATTTTAATAGATACATGCTCTCTTAACTTCTAGATCATGTATCTATGAATTAAACATTCTTTATCACCTTTGTTCCTATAGTGCATTATCTGAAGGTCAGAATCTGGGTCAGTTAGCAGTCAGTTCAATCACTTCCTGGTGTTTTTGTCGGTCTTAACATTTGAAACTGCTTTCAGAGAATCTTCCAGGGATTTAAAACGAGGCAGATTTTCTCCTTAGTATCAGGGGCAGAGAGATTTTGAATTTTTATGAGTTTAAAAGAAAGTGAAGGACTAAAATATTGGAAATGACAAACCAGGACTTTGGCTAGTCAATGGCCTAGTATGGAATGATTTTATATATAAGGATAGCGTGTGATCATATAATTGATATGATTTTAAGGACTCCAAGAAGTCTTCCCCTACTCCTTAGTGCCATCATCAAAACAATAACAACAACCTTTAAAAATGTAATTTAACCATTGAGAGTTTTATGATTTCTTTGGGTTTTCACTGTAGAGATAGGTGTCTTTTTATTTCATAATCTTGAGATACATCATATATAAGATTTATTCACATAAAAATGTTTATTAAGATTTTATTCTTTTAGTGCAGTTGGAGATTCACAAACAAAATTAAGAGAAATATAGAAAAGTCCCATATACCTCCCTGCTCCCAAATATGCACAGCCTCCCCCATTATTAACAGCCCCCACTTGGAGTGGTACATTTGTACAACTGATGAGCCTACATTTGCATATCACAATCACCTAAAGTCCACAGTTTACATTAGGGTTCACTCTTGGTGTTGTACATTCTGTGGTTTGTATAGGGCATGTATCCAACATGATAGTATCATACAGAGTATTTTCACTGCCCTAGAGCTCCTCTGTGCCCCACTAACCTCTGGCAACCACTTATCTTTTTACTGTCTCCATACTTTTGCCTTTTCTAGAATGTCATATAGTTGGAATCCTACAGGATGCAGACTTTCAGAATGGCTTCTTTCACTTAGTAATATGCATTTAAGATCCCTCCATGCCTTTTCATGGCTGGATAGCTCATTTCTTTTTAGTACTGAATAATATTCCATTGTCTGGATGTACCACAGTTTACTTAGCTACTTACCTACTGAAAGACAACTTGACTGCTTCCTAGTTTTGACAGTTAGGAATAAGCTGCTGTAAACATACATGTGCAGGTTTTTGTATGGCATAAGTTTTCAGTTCTTTTAGGGTAAGTACCAAGGAGCATGATTGCTAGATAATATGGTAAAAGTATGTTTAATTTTGTTAAGAAACTACCGAACTACCATTTTGCATTCCCACCAATAAAGAATGAGAGTTCCTGTTGCTCCACATCCTCGCCATCGTTTGGTGTTGTCAGTATTCTGGACTTTGGCCCTTTCCAATAGGTGTGTAGTAGAATCTTTTTGTTGTTTTAATTTGTATTTCCCTGATGACATGTGATATGGAGCTTCTTTTCATATGCTTTTTGCCATCTGTCTATCTTCTATGGAAAGGTGTCCACATAAATATTTTTAGCCTTTTCAAATGGCTACAATTTAAAAAAGAAGATGCCTCATATTCAAAGTTAATCCCTCTAATAGTGGTGGGCAAGAGGGTGACCTGTCTTCAATCTTCTACTGGGCCTGGCTCTTGTTAGTTTACTTTTCTGACATTTTGTTCCCACTAACTTCTTCCTCACAACCTATAACTATACTCAAACTTCTATTATTAAAAGAATACTCCAAGACCAATATTTTTTCTCTTCCAAAAAAAAAAAAAAAAATCTTGGGAGAGCAG